TTACACTAACTCGGAGTTGTCTATGAATTTCTACTACATTTCTATGTAGGGCAAGGCTCTAAAAATCCTACGCAAATTGCGAATGCGCGAAAAATTACTTCTACTGGTCAATTTTTCATAGCAACGGACCGCGTCGTAAAAAGGTCTATAACAAAATCATTGTTTTCCTTTTCAATTTCTTCTAATATATTGATACTATATTACATATTACACGAATAACAAGATTAAACATATTTTATGTCAAATCAATGCGACTAACACCTTTGGTTAATTGAAGAAAAATCATTTTGGTTTTTCTATTCTTTTTTTTTTGTGACAGGTGGCTTAGCTTCTTGTGATTGTCTATCGCAGATTGCGCATGTGCGAGAAAATTCTGCATCCGGTCGAGTACTTTGACACTTATTCTTTGTCGGACATCTTTAAAAATCATAGTCTCATCGAATTCCTCTTTATATCCTAACGTTATTATGTTGCTTGTTGTGCACATTATACATCCCCTGACTTTGATTACAAACAAAATAGCACGTGGTGTATTTACATTTTATCCTAGTTGTTTACGAAATGATTATGGGTAATCGGCGACTTTAATGTAACAATAAAACAGTCATTAAATTTATCCCGTACCTTAATAACTTACGATAATATCCTTTCTGTCAACATAATCCAAAATTAGTTCCCACATGATGATGTTCTATACTTTATACGGCCGGTAGTACTTTTTTATATATTTGTATGACAATCAACGCTACGCCTGTCTTATATAACACACGTGGAAACCGTCTGAAAAATGTTTGGCATGACGATGTCACTAAAGAAAAATACTACCCGATTTATTAAATACTTATAAAAGAAATATTGTGAAATATTGATGGAATTAAATTGATGGAATTTTTTTTTTGTTTTCCGTGTTTTCACTATAAAAAATTATTTTTCACTGCAGTGAAACATATTTTCGGTATATTCACTGGTGTCCTGCCTGACTTCTTTCTTATAAACCCAGCCAACACACACAATTTAAAGGAAATTCGTTAAACAAATTGTAATGCCAAAAAAAATATCTATAATTAACAGAAAATCCAAGTTTTTTCTAATAATACAGAATTTATTTTCATCTTATGCTATGAAAATTATCATATTTCAATCGTGACTACCGCCACTCACGAAATATTTATTTTCAAAGCACTTGTTTTTCAAAAAAAAAAAAAAATAACATACTTAGTATGCAAATTTAATATCATGGAGCCAGTAGTGTGATTTTACGTATCATATCTGCCAAATACATATACCATCTCAGTATTTATACTGATTTATAGAAATTAAAATCCTCTTCGGTTACATCAAGGTTCCTAGGAAACTCAATCATATAAATATATAAATGGTAGGTAAATAAATCAACAAATCGATCATCTAATCCAAACTTTAAAAATTATACATGCAAAATGTTAAAATGTGGCGTGTATCATTAAAATTCTGTCAACGTTTTTTTGATCGCAACAACGCCTTCAACTTGAATCCAACTGTTCGGTGTATTGAATGGCTGTGAGCTACATGAAAATATATTTTGATATAAAACTTATGGTGGCAGATTTGTGCCATTCGTGTTTCCGCTCCGCGACCTCGCCAAGCCAAAAGTCGAGAATAAACAAGTTAAAATGGCGGGGGGGGAGCGAAAGCACGCTAATTAGCGGCGGGCGCAGTTTAATAAATAAAACTTCACCCCGCGGGGTCGCGGACAATATTTAAGAATTAAAACGGCGGCGGTGTGGAGCGGAAAGACGCTTATTAGCACCCCCACTAATAAGTGTTTTTTAGCGTAAGTTTTATTTATTAAACCTCGCCCCGCGCCCGCCGTTTTATTTCTTAAAGCTCGCTCTGTGACCCCGCGGGCGAAGTTTTATTTATTAAACTTTTCCCGCGCTCTCGTTTATTAGCGTGTTTTCGCTCTGCTCCCCGCCACTTTTTAATTATCGGCTTTTAGCTTGGCGGTGTCACGGGGACACCAATGGCACATATCAGCCACCATTGAAAATTAAGAAAACTTTTGATAATTTACTAACTGAAATATTATATAATAGCAATGTAAAAAGCAGCATATTATTATTGTTGTATTCAGAAGGAGATGGAAGAATTAACAAATGTGTCGTGGATTTTGTAAATTATTTAGATAGAGGATATTGAATGAGTGTAGGTTTAATACTAAATTTATAGAACGAGTTAAATAAAATCATATTATGCGAGCCTCTGTCGAGCATAATATTATTTTATTCAACGAGTTCAATAAATTTAGTATTGAATCTACACGAATATAATAATCTTTTTATCACATAATATAAAATAAGAAGGGTAAACTGTTAATAAGAGTCAATTTTATTTGACTCGCCTATAGTGTAACGCTAACATAAGCGCAATTGACGTCACATAAAAATCATGTTTTGTAAATATTAAAACTCACGTGGGAGGGACTGTTACACGAAGGATGAAGTTCTTATGATAACTTGTTTGGAGTTCTTATGATAACAGTCACGATGTTCCTGGAAATGTTACGGATTTCTGTGGAAAACATTTCTATATACTTGGAGAACTCACATAAAAAATGATTATGTTTTACCTTTAAATGGGGAGTTTGAGGTTCTAAATTAAACTTTGATATTTAAGTTTGCTCTACATAATGTATTATGTTTCAGAAAAACCTTTTAGACCATTTTTCATTGCCTTTTCAAAAAAAAATCTGGTAGTTTTATAGTAAATTTTCAAATTAATTCGTACATATTGACCTTTTCATTTGTGATCTTCTTCGTTACATAATTATAATGCAGAGTTGCAAACATAAAGCCCAGGCTAATAAATTTATACCCGATTTTTCAAATGTCACGGAGTTCTTGTGATATCTCAAAATATGTCCTGGATTTCTTATGATAACTTTTGTTACTGCCAGTGTGTTTCTTGTGCTAAATTACGGTCCGTTTAAGCGTATTTTATTAGTCAATAAGTGTAAATCATCATGAAACGTAATACGCTCAGCGTTAACACAAAAATTGGTTATATAATGTTGGTTTTGAGCGTGTTTTAGTTCAAAAGATAATTATCAAATATATCAAATTTGTGCGAGTTCATATTGACATTATAAAACCGAACGAATGCACTTAATGTGTCTGTGTATACTGTTCGTGAACTATAGTTTTATGTCATAAGTTCCTTTGATATGTAAACGCTGAATTTACAGCAACTACAGAGATATAATAGACACGCATATCGTTATTATGATGACAACCTTAAGTTAATATTCAGTATATAGCTTGGTATGTAAATAATTTTTTCACGTAAATTTTTAGGTAACTGACGTTTTTTCAGGATTCGGCTGTCAGAATACCTCAAATCTTTTAAGAAAGATTGATCTTGAAACTGCTTTGGTGTACAGTCTACAAAGGATAGACATGTGATAGGTTATCTTCAAGTAAACTTGAATCAGCGGTCACCATTATTCAGCAGTAACATGGCTTAAACCGCCAATCAAATATTGTTAAAACTTACACTTTTTATTCAGTTACATGTTTAAAGCAACCGCCTTTCTTAAGCAGATAATATATAGTTGGGCTTCCCACAAAAGGGGCTACTTAAGTAATTAAGTAATTTTAATCATTTTATACCATAAACAACAACTATATAACCGGATACCCTTCACACACATGCACGCGAAATGTATGATCTTTTAATACAAAAACAAATCAACCGATCACTACCGATCTCTTCAACAAATTGGCATGTGCACTACGGGTTGGAGCGAAAGAAGTTCGACAATATATTTTTGTTATCAATTACAGCAAAAGTTGTTGCAGAGTTTCCATATCTAGGATTATATAAGGGAAATGCCCGAAGGACTCCATTTTTAATAAGAAAAATGTATGCAATAATTTTCCGAAATATGGAGATTTCTGTACGTCACGTGAGGCTACATTGGATTTAATAGAGAAAGGAACAAGGTCGATAAACGGCATGAACCTTACGGTGACTCACATAATTATATTATTAAAAACTTACTTTCTATTTTTAACAAACATATCATTGTCATATAACTTTATACGTTTCTATGACAAAAATTGATACCTTTTAGAAATGAAAATATCCGTTGAATACCTAAAGATGACGCCCATCTCATTAAATTTAGACAAAGTTAGTGCATACGTCTTCCTATTTTGCTGCAAACCATTTACATGTAATTTGTTTAGGCAGACCGATAGTATAATTACTTTAAACTGCCAGGAATAATGTATACAAGAAGAAATCATGCTTGAGTATTAAATTCAAAGCGTATTTTTATGATGTAAGTCAATGCTCTACATCAAGTATGTTTTCAGTTGTTCCAAAAAAATAAACATAAAACACAAAAAACAAGAAACGAAGGTAAGAAAAATATCTCTTGAACTGAAATAAACTCTACACCATCGTTATATAACCAAATGTTTGCGCAAATGATAAGCGCACTATGCTAAATAATGATTTACACACTTAGAGACCAAATACGATTAAACGGACCGTAATTAAGCACAAAAAATACACTGGCAGTAACAAAAGTTATCATAAGAACTCCAGGACATATTTATCACAATAAATCCTTGACATTTGAAAAACCGGGTATAAATTTATTAGCATGGGCTTTATGTTAGCAACTCTGCGTTATAATTATGTAATTAAGTATAGTAACGAAGAAGATCACAAATGATTCGGAATTTTTTCTCAAAACTACCATATTTTTTTTAAAAAGGCGATGAAAAATGGAATAAAAGGTTTTTCTGAAACATAATACAATAGGGCAAGCTTAATTAACAAAGTTTAATTTAGCATTTCAAACTCCCTATTTAAAGGTAAAAATGACCAATTTTCATGCGAGTTCTCCAAGAACAAGTATTTAGAAATGTTTTCCACAGAAATCCATAACGTTTTCCAGGAACCCCGTGACGGTTTTCATAAGAACTCCAAACAAGTTATCAAAAGAACTCCATCCTTCGTGTAACAGTCCCTCCCCGTGAAAAAACTTAAGCAGGGAGGTGATAAGTAAAAGAAACAGTCCTGATAAGGTATATATCCAGGGTGTGTGATGCCACATCTCTTGTGACGTTAAAACGCAAACAGAGCATAACGTGCACAATGACGTCATCGGGAAAGGTATGGAGCAATTACGTCACATTCGGAAGTGTTCTTATATTGTGCATCGTTCTAACCTTTTCATTCATGTATATCATGGGTAAGATATTTGTTAAAAAAGATATACCATTATTATTTAATATCGTACAACTTCGCCATATTTCGTCACTTTCCGTGTTTTTTCTTCACATCTTAAGGCGAACCATCGATAACAGTGAATACATGAAGAACAAAAACATCCCTTCCTTTCAACCAGCAGACAAGTCTAATTCTTTTATTGTCGTTTTGTTGAGGTACTTTAAAGTAAACCATCGACAATCAATTCAAATATCTGAGAAAAATCACCATCTACCTATTTCTGTTTCTTTAAAGATACTTTATGTCTATGTTAAAGATACACTATGCTTTTATTTGAGTGAAATATTTTAATCACGGAAATTTATTGAAATTTATAAAATTCTTACTGAATATGTCTAATTTGATTAAACATGTTAAAAGAATGAATAATTTATGTACAGGAAGCTGCGTTTCCTATTACATACAGGTCAAGCAAAGATGGTACTTTCTTTAAAAAAATGCCATTTTTTAGATGGCATTATATATTCATATTGTGACCACCTGTAGTGTGTAGAGTTTTGAACATAACATATCTACTTCGTGTTAGTAATTAAAGCATGTTAATTTTCCACTTTTCAGTGGATTACTGATTTATCCGTGAAAATTGTATTTGATAATTTTTCAGTGAAAATTATCAAAATATAATTTCACACTTTTCAATGACGAAACTACCTTTTATGAATTTTCCCCATGTGGTACCACAATTTTATTTTTTTTTTTTTTTTTATTTTTGCTGACAATTCTGACAATATCAGGCTGTTTAGAGAAAAGCAAAGCTGAAATTGATAAATAACTTAAATGTCAAAAGTAATAAAAAAAGAAAAGTTACTTCTATTCATTCAAATTACCAATCACCAAATATCGTCTCTAATTTCTTTGTTTCATTTTCGTCTCCCATGTGTTATACAGATTGAAACGAAGTTCGATTTTTATATGTAATTTCCGGGTTTCCGATGCAATTTTCGTTTCGTCTTCTTTGTTGTCATTAACCTTTGTAGAAATAACCGTACACTCTTAGGCTAGTCATTGATTCTGATGCTTGAGAATAAATAATTGAGCCGCGTCACGACAAAACCAACATAGTGGGTTTGCGACCAGCATGGATCCAGACCAGCCTGCGCATCCGCGCAGTCTGATCAGGATCCATGCTGTTCGCTATCAGTTTCTCTATTTGTAATAGAGTTGGTAAGCGAACAGCATGGATCCTGATCAGACTGCGAGGATGTGCAGGCTGGTCCGGATCCATGCTGGTCGCAAACCCATTATGTTGGTTTTGTCATGACACGGCTCATATCTTTTTATATACTAATAAATAAAATATTGAGAAATATTGATGTTATCTACAAAGGCTGTTAAAGTGTTATTTATAAACTCGCGAAAACCCATTGCAACCTTATTTATATAAAGTATTTGGGAATATACATGACTAAACGTTGTATAATGTCATAATTAATACAATATCAAATGCATACGTACTTCACACAATAGCTTATTTTTCCAACATTTGTTCGTGAAATAAGTTTATTCCTACAAAATAGATATTCAATCACGCAATCTCAAAACCTGTGTATACCTTGACACTTAACGGCTTAAAATTCCATGTATAGACTATTCTTTAGAGATTTACTTGTTTTATATTATGAATTTAATAGTATAAAGAAGTAAATTTGTAATAAAATAAGAAAATTAAAGAACGATTGTATTCATTTTTTTCCGCCAAAATGAGCTACAGTTCAACTCTTTGTATATTATGTATACAAAAGTATGCATGCACAATTATCTAGAAAGATTGTTCTTTTCAGTTGTATTGTTTGTGTTATATATAAGGTTCACAACACACAGAAAAAGTCAGAGGGGCAGCAACATCTTTGACGTATCACCTCAATAAAAATCTGACCACTATAAATCGTCTGGAACAAAATTTTACAACAAAAAGCCAATTAAAACAAACTTTGACAATTAGCAGAGAGCGGCCGTTCTACCGAATAGATACCACACCTGAAAATACAGTAAGTACTCCTTATAATTTTCAATAATTGGGAAAAATTTAATTCCCATTTGATCCTGATCCAGATTCATGAAACTTTGTGAAAACGAGGCTAGACTTTGTGAAAACGAGGCTAGACCTCTTTAAAACGAGGCCAGACTTTGTGAAAATGAGGCCAGAAAAGTCTTATATAGCAAAAATTTCTTTGTCCGTGAGCCGAGCTCGAGTAGCGGGTGGCAACTTACGTCGTGTTCTGTAGACTCTACCAGTTCCAACAATAACGGGTTCAGCAGAGCACGAGTCGACTCAAGGCAAATTGGACTCAATCAAACCGAGTCTGCAAGTTCCACTTTTAAACTTTAGTTTCATTTGCTCCCGATGTTTCTCCTGCTTTTCTAACTAATTGAACTGTTGTGTTTAATGTACATTTTGATGGGTTGTATTTTCACAGAGTAAACTGCTGTTCCTTGAAAATTTTAAGAATCCTTGCTGGCACGAACAAGCGGCGAGTTTCCACCAAGGTGAAGGTCAACTGCGCTGTCTCCCTTATTTCTACATTGTTGGTGCTCCTAAAGCCGGGACCAGCGATCTGCGTGGCCGTCTAATACGACACCCCTCTATATCAGATAAAGTTATTAAAGAACCCCACTGGATAGCAAGAACAAGGTTTATGCAGAAAGGTACTGTTATAATATTTTTATTTCTTTTATCTTTATTTTTATCTATTATATATATATTTTGAGGGGGGAATTTAGATTTAGACCCTTGTACGTCCGTCCGCTCTCACGTTGTGTCACATGTAGCTCTAAAAGTGATTATGCTACATTAAACAAAATTTACAGAAATGTTGATCAACATGTGAAGTTGTGCACCTGGGGTTTTGCTTGTTGATTAATTGTATTTTGTCAGAGTTATTGCCCTTGACTTAGTAAAAATTTGCAATTTTCTAATTTAAGTACATGTATTTGAAATAGAGTCCTAAAACTTTACAGGAAAATGTTGGTCAACAAGTTTAGTTGTACACCTAGGAATGTTGTTCCGCATGTGTGGTTGTGCACCTGCGGTGTTTTACTTGTTGATTATTTCTGTTTTGTCATTTATTATAAGTTATTGCCCTTTACTTAGTAAAAATTTTCAATTTTCAATTTGTGTCGCATGTAGCTCAAACAATGGCAGACTGAGAGTCATGAAAGTTAACAGGATTGTTGGTCAGCATGTGTACTTGTGCACCTGAGGTTTCGCCTGTGGATTTATTCAGTATTTCTAGATTTTTTTGCCCTTGACTCAATAAAAATATGCAATTTTTGATTTGTGTCGCATGTAGCTCATAAATTATTTGACCGAGAGTCAAGAAAGTTAACAGAAATGTTTGTCAGCATGCGTAGTAGTGCACCTGGGTTTCATCTGTGAATTAAGTCAGCATTTTAATAGTTAATGTTCTTGAGTAAGAAACAATTTGCAAACTTTTCAACTTGTCGTGTGTACCCTAAAAATATTTGACCTTGAGTAATTAAACTTTTCCGAGCTATTGGTCAGCATGTGCTGCAGCTGAAATCAACCGACTTGACATGAGATATTGATCAATATGTAAAGCTGTGCAAATGGGGTTTTGCGTGTCCATTTTTTTCAGTTTTGGTACAGTTATTGCCCTTGACTTATATATGTATAAGTTTGCAATTTTCAACTTGTTCATGCATAGCTCAAAATGAATTTGACCTGTAGTTCGAAATATTGATCAGTATGAGTAGTACCTGGGGGTTTGCTTGTCGATTTATTCAGTATTTGTAGAGTTTTTGCCCTTGACTCAATAAGATTAGCAAATTTTTCAACATGTGCCGCGTGTAGCCAAACAAATAATTTGACCTAGAGTCAGTAGATTGACAAAATAATGGAGTGCAGGAGCACCCGTATTCTTTGAACACATTTCTAGATTTCTATATGTTATGTATGTATCGTATGCATACATACGACCCGACAGAAGGAAACCTATATTACTCTCGGGAACCCTTACACCCCCCACCCCTCCCTACCCCCAGGATATGCCGAATGCCGAACTTATCTGAACATTAATGACAACTTACATTTTTAAGTGAAAATTACAAAAAAGATGATGAAAATCACGCCATGACCCCTTCTGGAAAAACTCCCTAGTTCATACTCAAGTAATGATACTATTTTTGAAACTTTCTAATACTTTAATTTGCAAATGCTCATCAATGAAAATTGCGTGTGACATGAGACTCAATGACGGAATGCAGGTAAATTCTGTACTTCCATATTGTATTTATTGCATGTATAAATATAAAAGTGGTGTGTTCATTCTTTGATATATATATCTGAAGGCTTCTTTTGCAGGAAAGTATGGCAAACTGTCAAATTACCTACGTTATTTTGATTCTGCAGTACAGAAAGACATAGTCACCTCAAAACAGAAGAACGGCCGTTATAATGCTATATTTGGTAAGATGTTCAACACTTTGCATTTTGCGAAACGGGTCAACTGCTAGAATTTGTCGTATGCTAAATTTATTCCGAAACTTAAAAATGGATAAATGCCAAACAGCTTGGTACACAGATGAACTTTGCAAGTATTTTGCGCACAGTCTGATACTAAGTACTTGGCGCCAAGTCCAATATCAAGTATTTAGCGCCTATACCGATACCAAGTTATTAGGGCCTAGTCCAATATAGAGTACTTGGCGCCAAGTCCAATTACAAGTATTTTGCGCCTATTCTAATACCAATTAATAAGGGCCTAGTCCAATATCGAGCACTTGGTGCCAAAACCACTATCAAGAATTTTGTGCATAGTCCGATATCGAGTACTTGCCGCCTAGTCCGATACCGAGTACTGGGCGCTTAGCCCGATACCGAGAATTTAGCGCTTGATCCGATACCAAGAATTTAGCGCGTGGTCAAATATCGAGTACTTGGTGCCAAGTCCAATATCAAGTATTTTGCGCATAGTCCGACACCGAGTACTTGCCGCCCATTCCGATCCCAAGTACTTGCCGCCTAGTCCAATATCGAGTATTTGGTACCAAGTCCAATATCAAATATTTTGCGCATAGTCCGATATCGAGTAATGGCCGCCTAGTCCGATACCAAATGCTTAGCGCCTAGTCCGATATCAAGTATTTTGCGCCTGTTTGGGCCTAGTCCAATCTCGATTACTCGGTATCAAGTCCGATATCAAGTATTTTGTGCCTATTTCAATGCAAAGTGATGACGCCTATTCCAATACCAAGTAATTTGCGTTTAGTCCAATATAGTACCAAGTATTTTGCGCCTTGTCCGATACCAAAAGTCATTAGCGCCTTGTTCGTTATCCTAGTACTTTGCACCTTGCCCGATACCAAAAGTCATTAGTGCATAGTCATAAACCGACTACTTGGTTTATTATTGGTTAGACAGCAGGTTTATGACCATTGTTAAGTTAATTATTTGCGAAAAATGAGTTATATCACCACGTTAATGTTTAATATCGCTGGGATATGAGTTATATAACCATTGACTATTCGTGAAACAAGAATTTTCATTTATGGCCATTTTTAATGTTTAATATTTGTGGTGAAGTAGATAAATGACCATTCTAAATGTTTGTTTCTCTTCAGGAGACTGTAGTTGCTCGACTTTATGGGACAACTGGAACCTATTAAATGCACGTATGAAAAGGAACATGACTTTACCTCCATCTACCAATGCCAATGTTATATTTGATCTGAACCCAAATGCCAAAATCATCATCATGTTAAGAAACCCTACATTAAGGTAAAATTAAGACAGGTTGTGCAAATACATTACGGTTGACAGTCATCAAATATTGTCTGTGTTCAGAGGATACAATTCTAACATGAATACCGCTATTTCTTTATAGAGCAAAGGCTTAGCTTTCATGAGAGCTTTAGAATACGGTATAAGAACGGCATTTAGAAATAAAAGGAAAATGTGTACGCCGTATGACGTCAGTTCAAACTCTGCGCACCGGTGACGCTACGGCCAGTGACCACACAAATCACGTGATGATGGTCTTATCACATGATTGTGTGGAGATGGTGGATACGCCAATGAAATCATTGAATAATTATTTTATCTGTAATAACACGGATTTATATTAGTATAGTCTGATTTTATTAACCTGTCAATTATAAATACATTATAGGACTCATTTAAATAATCGATCCCACTTCGGTTTGGTCCGTGTAGTTTACGAGAATTAATGTGGAGTATATAAGTCATGGATTGAAAGTCACGCCAACTTTATGTGAAGGTTTTCGTTAATTCACAATAGGACAGTCGGTAAAGAGAATGCCTGATAAATGAGAGGTCTGTGGTTCGATCCTTACTGTTGCCATTGTTTTAGTACTCTTTCTTTATTTTTGCAGTGTATTTTAATGGAACAGATTTGTAGTGTGTTTTACGGCATTGAAAAGACATTTATTGATTTTAATCCGTTTTAATTTTAAATATGAATTCTTAAAAACATGTTATTTAAAAAGAGTATACACATAACAAAATTAAGTAAAACATAAAAAAACGAACAACATATATTAATCATATAATTATAGATTCAATAATGTTAAAGTATTAATAAGAAAAAAACATGGACCAACGCGGCCTCGAACTTAAAACACGTTTGGGCACTTAGATTATAAACTCGTGATTTACCCCATTGCGCTATAACGCTGAGTACACTTATTTTAGAGATACAAATTAAATTAAATTCCATCGTACAGCGTAAATCTCACGGAACTTACCGAACATCTACCGAAGATTAATATACTGTGTGCATCGACCGTGTAATCAGTATGTAATTGACAGGTTAATAATAAAACCAAACAATAATATAAATCCGTGGTAATAAACAGCGACATTATAACTTGAGCTCTGGTGTCAAATTTGGTCGCTATAATTGAAAGAAAATCATTTCTGTTTAGTGTAGAATCTTTTTAAAATAAATATCAAAATTGAAAAAATTCATATCGTCAAAAGTCTTGACAAAAATGGTGTGATGGCAGAGATCTAATCCAATCCTGTAAGGGGAGATCACTGCGTGGGAGATTGTGTTTATTATTGGTTAGACAACATATGACCATTGTAAAGTTAACTTTTTGCAAAAAAAATGTGTTATATCACCATCTTAATGTAAATTTAATTAACCAAATGACATCAAATAAATACAGATCAACAATATTCAATAAATAGAGGATATTTTTTTCTATAAATACAGGGTTTATTTTCATCGAGTTGTATGAAAAATAAGTATTTCATAAGTGGCAGAAGCCACGAGTGAAATATGATAATTTTCATACCACATTTTGAACCAGGATTTTTTATGGAAAACTGAATGTCAAATCGGTGTGTGTTAGCAATTGTCGACCATATGCATCTCTGACATTTCTCAACTGATTCAAGTAAAATCATCACAAAATGATAGAAAACCATTGCAGTTGACGCATATTTTCAAGATTTTGGGATTTGGTGACATTTTACTGAATGGCGGTATCTTTTGTTAACAAAATAAACTTGTGACGCAAACCTGGTTTTTGCTTCAATTCACTGTCATTTTTGTTTTTGCTATTTTCAGGGCATTTTCTGATTACTTGTACTTTAACAAGAAAGGGGGAAGTGCTCGTACATTCCATGCCAAAGTGGCTCGTTCAATTAAGAAACATAGGTACTGCTTAAGGAAGGGCAGTTTACAGTATTGTGCATATTTATGTCGATTTATGGTAAGATATTTTTTTAATATTTTTTTTCTTTGTTATATAATGACTTTATATAAAACTTATCATTTATATCACATTAAAAATTTGATGACAATATATGTGTTTATATCACTTTGCGACAAACCTTATTTAATGGTTAGTTGAAAGTTTGTCATGGAATTAAGTTCAATTCAATTATTCTTATATAATCATAACTTATTCTTGAATAAGCATTCCTAATAAACGGGATAGACCCATGCATCCTAAGAACGAGCAAAATGTACAGTGCTTATCTATTAGTGTTGGCTGCAATTACTTTAGCCATGTATCTGTTAAATTAAAGGGGCATGAGAATCTGATTGTTTCAGCCAAAATTACTTCAGCCAGGTAGATTGATAAAATAATTGATTATTTAATAGATTGGTCCAACATGCAATTAGTACAGTCTTGTATCATAGTTTGGAGACCTTTCTGTTGAAAATGTGTCAGGGTTAAATCGTATACATATACATGCACAGTGCGTTAACTGGAGTGCGGGTATTAGTTACCCGCACTCCAGAGTATGCCCATTGATTGGCTCATTTTTGCTGGGGTTTACATATTGTGACGGCAGAGAAAGGGAAAGCGACAGAAATGTCATATTCAGATGTTCGTTCATTGGTTCATTTTTGCCGGGGTTTCATATTGTGACAACAGGAAACGTGTTTTTATGTTTGACTATGATACAAAAGAGAAAGAACACCAAAACACTCGACAATCTGATTAATACTCGGGGGCTACGCCCCCTCGTACAAATCAGATAGCCTCGTGTTTCGGTGCTCTTTCTATTACATAACGATTTGGTACTTTTAGATTGATTATTAATTAAAACTGCAATCATTCATGGTGCGTGCGTATCTGTACGTTTCGGCTACAATCAGTTAAGCCAGGTGTCTATTGGCTAAATAAACAACCATTCAAGTAATTCGTATATTTGTTAAATTTACAATCATTAAAGTCAGGTATTTTTTAATTGTCTATTATTAACAATGTCGAATTGAAACTATGCGCATTATAATATAATCATGTTCTTTCATGCTGTATTTTTGCAGGAAATACGTCTATTCGTTGGTATGTATTATATTTATGTCGAAGACTTTTTTCGAGTTTTTCCGAAGGAACAAATTAAAGTAATAAAATCAGAGGACTTCGCAATGAATATTTCTGAGACGATGAAAGAGGTATTCAAATTTTTAGAAGTTGGTAAGTAATGGTGGGTGTATACAATATTTGCGTCAGTTCTTTAAAGACTCATATAATATGACCCAGGATTGCTCGTGACGTATTACGGTATGCATGGAGATATACATCTGTCTGTCTGTCTGTTTGTCCGTCCGTCTGCCTGTATTCCCGCCCGTGTATTCGTTCATAGTATATAACTTAATGCTTTTTTACTCCAATTTTGCATTTTAAGATTGACCTATTACGAATGTGATTCTATGACACATGACCAATCGGCATTGATCACATTTGTGACAAATGTTACAAATGTGCTTCATTTCCACTACACATTTGTAACACCTGTTGCCAATGCGATCCCCATTCGTTACATGTGTTACAAATGTGATCCGTTACGAATGTGGTCCAGCATGCAATTAGTACAGTCATAGTGATTTCATACTTTGTATCGAACTCGAAGTACTAATCGTTATCCAGCGATACTGATATTAAGGATGTTATTGTGTGTCCTTTGTACGGAAGCACAGAGGGGACATTTACATAAGGAAAGAATATTTGTTTCGTGGGCAAAATGTGCCTAAAATGGCTCTACAATACCGAAGTAAGAGCTGAATCGGTACTTCCAATTATATTTTAATGTTTGTTTTAAGGTATGACGTCACAATTATTTTCTATATTGGGTTCCAGTGTAACAGAGAACGGCTGGCATAATTACCCATAAGGGCATATTTATCGAATTCTTACGCCGCAAATAAATGCAAGAAAACAAGACTGAATTAGACATATTAGGCTAATTTGATTATCTCGAAGTGCATTTCTAATAATGTAGGCCATTTCTAATTACATAGGCCATTTCTAATAACGTAGGCCATTTCTTATAATGCATGGTCATTATTTATCATGTTGGGCAATTTTCTATAATATAGTGTCATTTTTGTAATACCAAGCTGTTAATTATGATATAGAATGTAGAGCCATTTCTTATAAAGTATGACCATTTCTAAAAATGTTGGGCCATTTCTTGTTATGCAGGGTCATTGGCCATTGCTTTGAATATGTAATATCAGGCCATTTATTATGATGTAGGGTCATTTCTTATACCGTATGACCATTTCCTATAATGTAAGTCAATAGGTCTTTCTGAACTAAATATAGAGTGTACTGCCTGCACACCTTTAACTACTTTTGAGACTACACAAAGAGATCAAATCGAATCTTTTGCCGAAGCTCTAATCAAGTTTGGACCAAAATGTATCTGTAATAAGCAAAGTTAAAGCCCAAATATTAATGAACCTCTGAACGAAACTGACATTTGAAGATTTTCTATTATTTCTCTGCCAATATAATTCACTATATTTGTTTCAGACCATCCCAAACAAGAGTTATGGAAGAAAATAATTGGACAAAAGAAAATTAACGAGAGAAAAGAAAAGAATAAACATACAGAAATGTTACCGGAAACCAAAGAAATGTTGTCACGATTTTATAAGCCTTATAATACTGAACTATCTCGTTTACTTGGAGATAATTTTATGTATGAATAGTGAATATGTGATCAATGTCGTAAAATGTGGCATACATATATTCAACGGACGGATTGCCTGGTAGTTAAGGTTTCTGCCTTTAAAACCCATGGACCGTGGGTTCGAGCCCAACTGAGGTCACGACAATGTTCCCTCATATGGCACCAGTGCTGATAAGTGCGGGGCAGCGGAGTTGATAGAGATAGAGTCGCTAAAAGCCATTTGTGTCCCGTCATGACAAAAGAAACACAGTGAGTTTGCGACTAGCATGGATCCAGACCAGCCTGCGCATCCGCGCATTCTGATCAGGATCCATTCTGTTCGTTATCAGTTTCTCTACTTGTTATAGGGTTTGTAAGCGAACAGCATGGATCCTGATCAGACTGCGCAGATGCGCAGGCTGGTCTGGATCCATACTGGTCGCAAACGCATTACGTTGGTTTCGTCGTGACGCGGCTCATTTTTATTTTCAAACTAATATAGATTTCTTTTGTATATGAAAAATGCTTATTAGGTCAATGGAACTTGAAATTATATCAAATAACCAATATAAACGTTAATAGTAGTATAGGCGCCGGTTTAACGCCACGACTGCGCATGCGCGGCGCCATATTGGATTCTATTTTTAGAATGACATCATCGTTCTATTTTTCGAAATTCATTTTTAATCTCCCGGAAGTATACGGAGCTGACTTGTATACCCGATCTAGGGCGTGAATCGCGGACATTGAGGGTCAGGTCCTCGGCCCAAGACGGGGAGATAAAATTAGTATCCAAGCATTTTAAAATTGAATGGCAAAAATAATGATTCCCTTTGTTTTTATATTTCCCACACTGCGTACAGTGTACTTGACAACTGATTTAATTATTTCTTTTAATCAATGTTCTCTATAATACACGTTTAATGTAACTTAAATGTATTTCTTCATATTTTAAATATCACCCTTTATACATAATTTATCTTATACATTTTCAAATAAGGTTATTAACATATTTATTTTAAGTATTTCTTTATAAACATTTAATAAAAATAGTACCTCTTTACTCCTTAAGCTCCAGCAACGAAATGACTCCAATATTAAAAGTACTATCCCTTAATGCGCATGCTTGGATCTGATGACGTCACCAATGCAATAAAACAAGCTCCAACATGTCGCGCGTCTATTTATTTAAGGCCGACTGGGCGGACAATTCAAAGTAAACATGTCAAATTTGATCCTTTTAAAGTTGCCGCACTGTCTGGCGTGTGTTTATTTAGGTACGAATACTTTAACAATGGTCTATTCAAGTGCCAAGGCTAGCTTGTTTACATTATTTGGCGTGTGTTGATTTAAGAGCAGATGTGCGGACAAAGGCCCATTCAACTGTCAAAATTAATCCCATTGAAGTCACCACGAGGTTTGGCGTCCTGTTTATTTTAGAGCAGATGTGCGGACAATGGTCCATTTAACTGTCAAAATTAATCCCTTTAAAGTGCCGCGCTGTTTAGCGTTTGTTTATATAAACCCGAATGCGGTATAATGGACATTGATTTTATCAATAGTGTACCTTAGCGAAATGTTTACTTAGTGCAAACAGACTGCTGAAATAAGGATTAAAATTTGTAGAAAATGTAAACTTATAAAATTATGACTTATACCTAATACTGTTTTGCTTTCTAGTCTACAAAATGCTGTAATCTACACTTTAAATGAAATTTCATTCCCTTGCGTGTATTTCTGAGCAATTCCATTCAAAGAAATTAAGCTACAGACCGGTTTTTCCTCTCTAGGGCAACCGTTTACGATATGATTTTTCAATTTTTCACTACCAATTGAAAGAACATTTTAATACCTTTAATTTACACCCCCCATTGTCGATTTGATTTTCAACTGTTACAGAGTTATTACGTAACAGCGATTTTTAAACCCAAATTTTTTAAGTTTACAAAGCCCTTCAATTTATATACCGTTAAAAAGATCTCGACGAGTAGATTCAGAAAATGTATAGGTTTATGGGTCTATCATTATGAGTTACTGAGATATTACAGATATAGACTTAGTGTATTTTAACCACCAATGTAAGATAAAGCGTTATTGCACTAAATTGTTTGAAAATATTCAAATGAGTGTGGCGTCCTTATTTATGGGTCGATTTTATCCATTTTGGTATCAAATTAAAGGTATTCAAGAGTACTTTCAGACGCTGTTGATAGTAAAGTTCATACTGGAAGTCAAAATTACTCATGCGTTAAATGACAATTCTCCGCTTATTTCTGGACATAACATGGGTATGTTGCATATCAAACGAAAGGTCTTGACAAATGCGACAAGCTGAAACTAACAAACCGCAAGTGAAACCAATCATGCGTAAAAATCATTAAAATAACTAAAATAAGCTTACCCCCAACCTTTACTCCTCGCTATCTAAATCGGCAATGAATGAATCGCTACGGTTAATCGTAATAAATGGAGTAAAAGAAGCGTTCGGATTGGTCACTGATAAGACAGTATTCTGATTGACTCGAAAGTAGGTTGGACAACTGTTCCTTGCAATGTGTAAAAATACATAAAACAAGTGAGGAGGAGGAGGAGGTGGTGGCGGAGGAGAAGGAAAGGAAATTTTTTCCTGTATCTGTGACCTATGGGTATCAAGCAGTTCAACCGATCTAAATGGAGAACAATCCTCACTCAGGAGAATATATAAAATAATACGTCGATGTATGTAAACCTTTCAAAAGACATCCAATGGAACAGAAACTGGACTTTTCTCAATGATTTTTACGCATGATTGGTTTCACTTGCGGTTTGTTAGTTTCAGCTTGTCGCATTTGTCAAGACCTTTCGTTTGATATGCAACATACCCATGTTATGTCCAGAAATAAGCGGAGAATTGTCATTTAACGCATGAGTAATTTTGACTTCCAGTATGAACTTTACTATCAACAGCGGCTGAAAGTACTCTTGAATACCTTTAATTTGATACCAAAATGGATAAAATCGACCCATAAATAAGGACGCCACACTCATTTGAATATTTTCAAACAATTTAGTGCAATAACGCTTTATCTTACATTGGTGGTTAAAATACACTAAGTCTATATCTGTAATATCTCAGTAACTCATAATGATAGACCCATAAACCTATACATTTTCTGAATCTACTCGTCGAGATCTTTTTAACGGTATATAAATTGAAGGGCTTTGTAAACTTTAAAAATTTGGGTTTAAAAATCGCTGTTACGTAATAACTCTGTAACAGTTGAAAATCGAATCGACAATGGGGGGTGTAAATTAAAGGTATTAAAATGTTCTTTCAATTGGTAGTGAAAAATTGAAAAATCATATCGTAAACGGTTGCCCTAGAGAGGAAAAACCGGTCTGTAGCTTAATTTCTTTGAATGGAATTGCTCAGAAATACACGCAAGGGAATGAAATTTCATTTAAAGTGTAGATTACAGCATTTTGTAGACTAGAAAGCAAAACAGTATTAGGTATAAGTCATAATTTTATAAGTTTACATTTTCTACAAATTTTAATCCTTATTTCAGCAGTCTGTTTGCACTAAGTAAACATTTCGCTAAGGTACACTATTGATAAAATCAATGTCCATTATATACCGCATTCGGGTTTATATAAACAAACGCTAAACAGCGCGGCACTTTAAAGGGATTAATTTTGACAGTTAAATGGACCATTGTCCGCACATCTGCTCTAAAATAAACAGGACGCCAAACATTGTTGACATTCTGAATGGATTAATTTTGACACCTGAATAACCTATTGTCCGCACATCTGCTCTTAAATCAACACACGCCAAATAATGTAAACAAGCTAGCCTTGGCACTTGAATAGACCATTGTTAAAGTATTCGTCCCTAAATAAACACACGCCAGACAGTGCGGCGACTTTAAAAGGATCAAATTTGACATGTTTACTTTAAATTGTCCGCCCAGTCGGCCTTAAATAAATAGACGCGCGACATGTTGGAGCTTGTTTCATTGCATTGGTGACGTCATCAGATCCAAGCATGCGCATTAAGGGATAGTACTTTTAATATTGGAGTCATTTCGTTGCTGGAGCTTAAGGAGTAAAGAGGTACTATTTTTATTAAATGTTTATAAAGAAATACTTAAAATAAATATGTTAATAACCTTATTTGAAAATGTATAAGATAAATTATGTATAAAGGGTGATATTTAAAATATGAAGAAATACATTTAAGTTACATTAAACGTGTATTATAGAGAACATTGATTAAAAGAAATAATTAAATCAGTTGTCAAGTACACTGTACGCAGTGTGGGAAATATAAAAACAAAGGGAATCATTATTTTTTGCCATTCAATTTTAAAATGCTTGGATACTAATTTTATCTCCCCGTCTTGGGCCGAGGACCTGACCCTCAATGTCCGCGATTCACGCCCTAGATCGGGTATACAAGTCAGCTCCGTATACTTCCGGGAGATTAAAAATGAATTTCGAAAAATAGAACGATGATGTCATTCTAAAAATAGAATCCAATATGGCGCCGCGCATGCGCAGTCGTGGCGTTAAACCGGCGCCTATACTACTGTTAATGTCCCAAATACCCCAAATACTATAAAGGAGGTAATTATTTAATATTTTCGTTAATATAGGTTATTTGATAGAATTTCTAGTTCCTGTGATTAGGCAAACTAAAACGTGTAAAAATATGCAATGCATGTGAGAAAAGAACTGAAAGCGCCATGATTTGATATTTGTTAAACAAGTACACGTGTATAAATGTACCAGTTTAGAAAGTGAGCAAATAAGATAGATAGATAGATAGATAGATACTTTATTTACTTAAACTTTTACAAGTTTTTCGTTATAACAAATAATATATGATACAAATTTACAATCACATGACAATGGCATACATAGGAACATTGAAATTAGTGCACAACATAGTGGGAGAAGGTAAACATACACACGCAAGCACGCACACAAGTACACCAACACACACACGCACACACGCACGCCACGGTAAAAAATAATATCTATTACATGGAGAAGGAGGATGGGTATGTGAATACAGTTGCAATTCAGTTTATGAATACAAAAATTATACACAACCTAGATTTAGTAAAGTTCAATATGCAAATAACATTAACTAGTAGATGGTATAAATGATATGAAAAACTAAACAATTTGACTCGCTCTAACAGAAAAAGCTTTATACAAAAATTTACCGAGATTCTTTACTATTTTAAAATT